TTCTGTGCATATAAAAATAGCTTAGTGAGGTTTCATCTCATTGTATCTGATGAAGTCAGCTGAAGCCCACAAAAGCTTACACTACAATAAAAGTGTTTTCAAGGCCCCACAAGACTATTGGGATTTTTGGTTAATATAGCAGAGTTTTGCCTAGTCATAGAAGCATGATACTGAGTGCAGTAAATAAACCTCCCAAGAAGTATATTGCAAAAAAGGTAAACTTACATTTATTCAAGTAGATCCAGTTCACATTCAGGTTGCAGTTGAAAGAAGAGAAAGAAGCCTAAAGAGTACTTTCCCTATCACAAATGGCCAGCTTGTCTGGCATGATGTGTGTGGGAGTATGAGGAGACACCTGCAGAGACATGTGCCTCCATGGAAGTTACAGCAATCTCGCCCTCAAGGACAGGATTTCTCCCTTCCTTCTTCTTCTTTCTTGCTGAGCAGCCCCTATATCTATTTCCATCTTACTTGTTTGCTTATAGCTGTCCCACCCTGATCCAGCCCAGGAAACTCAGGGAAGAGACAAAATCACCTTCAGCTTCTGAAATGGCACCCAAGAGGCTTTTGAAAGTTCAAAATAAATTTAAACGTATTGGTAAGTTCTATTGTACAATCACTGTGAGGCACCCCTCAGACCTTCTATGAAATGAAAGAACTCGATAGGATTAGGCCTCCTGCAGGAGTGTCTGGTCATGATATTGATTTCATGTAACAAAATACGGAAGTTGCCATGTAACAATGCAAACAGAGGTGGCATTCAACACATGTCAAGTGGAACCAGGGGAAGATCGTATGAGGTGAACCAATAATAAAACTGAGGTAACTTGTAATCACATTAACTCCAGATAATTTGTTGCCAACAAGCAAGTGCTTCTGCTATTCAAAAAGGTCTTTTAAAACTTTGAGGAGAGAGGCTTTCTTTTCAGTTTTTGCTTGAACACTGAAGCATAGGTTTCTGAGTTTCACTAACTCTTAAAGTCTAGAAGGCAGGAACATACAACCAGGTTCCCAAAAACCTTCTATATGCACAGGCCAGGGATCACTCCTCTTTTAAGATCTATCTCCCTTTTCATTGGGCAGGGATTACTCTTCTCTTACCTAGAAGCAATTTCCCTTTTTGGGCTTGAATGGGGATCCTCTGTGATCCTCTCACTCCTTTTGCCTCCTTTCCAGTCCACAGTCAGTGCTTAACTGTCTCTTCTTCAACTGTCAGTTCTTAACTGACTCTCTGCACAGAATTCAGTTGGAACAGCCTGTCACTTAATGATTCTTAGACTCTCTTAGGCCTTAACCCTTGAGAGTCCATCACAGAAGGCCATATGGAGAGAGAGGACAGAGAGAAAGAGAGAGGAGGGGTCAGAGGGCAGCTCCAAGGTTAAGACAAAGACAAACACCCTGTTCAGGGAGATAACACCTATACACACTTGAAGTTATGTAGCACCCACCAGTGCCCAGGCATGCTGAGTTACTAATTTCAACAAAGACACCCCACCACACACACACTACAACAGATTATCACAGATTCTTCACTGGGATATATAACAACATATGCACCAGGGGTCAATTCCTTGGTGGCAAGTCTACCAGGACCCCAATAATATACATCACTCTCAGATGTCTAAAAGATCAATTTGTAGACAATAAGGCTGTACATCTGTATCTGGCCTGAATGACCCAAGCTGAAAATATCAGGAACTGAAGAGGGTTGGCCCTGGTTAATACTTGGATGGGAGTCCACCAAGGAAAGTCCAAGGGTGTGACACAGAGGCACGCAACAGTAAACACCTCCATTTCGTCTCCTGTCTTGAAAACCCTACAAGGTTGCCATAAGTAGATTGCATCTTGACACTTTTCATCACTTGACACTTTTTATCACCACCACATCTATATCTCCCTGCTCCCATCCCTCCATTTGTAACCGTTCATAGCCTGAACATCAGTGGGTCTTTCAAATATGTAACTCGATCTTTCCAGGATTTTGTTCTTTGTTTTCTTTGAAAATCTGGAAGGTGTGCCTGTGTCATAAATATCACTATCACAGATCTAAAGTATCTTAGGTCTCTGACCAACAGACCGTTTTCAAGAACTTACATATTTCACTTGCTTTCTTGCCCGATCAGGACATTAATGCACATGAAGATGAGGCTTCAACTTCCCTAGCCTGGCAGCATTTTCCCATTCTATGCAGGCCTGCCCTTGAGGCTGATCTGGAAACTTCAACTGGTCCAGAATGCAGTGTCATGGGCAACGTTCCCTCTAAGCTATGGAGTCCTGTGAGCAAAAATTCTACTTTGTGAGCTACCGGCATTAAAGTTGTGAGCAGGTGAATTGGCTACTGAATAACTTAGTTTGCTCTGGAGCCCTCCTTCCTGAGCTAAGACAAAAATGTGTGAGCCGGAGGCTAAAAAACTGTGAGCTAGCTCACACTAACTCAGCTTAGAGGGAACACTGGTCATGGGACACCACAGACTGCACACATTCAACCTGTGCTGTGCCAGCTGCACTGGCTCCTAGTGGAGTACTGGGTTAGGTTCAAGGTTTTGGTATTGACCTTTAAGGCCTTGAATGGTCTGGGCCCCATGTATGTTCAGGACTGCCTCCTCTGGTATGTCCCCCGAAGAGCTTTACACTCAGCTGGAAATAATCTACTGGTGATCCCTAGCCTTAAAGATGTCCAGCTGCCCTCGCTCAGAGCCAGAGCATTTTCAGCCCTGGCTCCTGTCTGGTGGAACTCTCTGACAGACAACATCCGTGCCCTGCAGGACTTGATGCAGTTCCACAGGGCATGTAAGGCAGAGACGTTCCGCTAGGCTTTGGGTTGAGGAAAGCAACGAGTACAATCTACCTGGCACTCCCTCCCTCCCTCCCCCACCTCTACAGTAATGCATATGGTATTTATTTTGGTACCATCTAATTTTTTTTTTAATTTCAACTTGACTGTTTTAATTTCAGTTTTATACTGTGTTTGTTGTTTCTGGCAACCACCCTGAGCCCTGTGAACTCAGAGAAGGGCAGTGTATAAATTGAACTTGTAAATAAGTAAATAAATAAATAAACAGATAAACACATTCCCGGGGAACACTGTTTGGGGAAATGCATTTGTTCCCTGGAATACATGTGTATTTCCTCAACTGGTCCAATCGTGCCTTCAGGGACTGCTTTGTGCTGGGGAAATGGTGCCCGGGAGGGGGAGGCTGAAGTCATTTCTCCACATGCACCTTCCATAGTCCTGATTCTAACTAGACGCCACACCTGCAGTAACTAAGAAGAATGGACAACTCACGTGTGATCGTATTTCTTCGAACAGAGGCTGGGGGACACCTGACCCAACCTGTTGGGTCCCATTTGGTAGCCCCATTAGGTCAAGGTATATGTTTGCTTCAGTAGCAAATAGCAGTTCCACAGGGCCATTTCAGGCCAGGATATCAGCACGGGGGGAAAGGCATAGGCTCATTCTCTGTGCCATGCTCCCAGCCCAACTCAGGTTACCCACATGTGTGTGTGTGTGTAAAGTGCCATCAAGTCACAACTGAACAACAGCAACCCCAGCAAGGGGCTTTCAAGGCAAGTGAGAAGCAGGGGTGTTTTGCTATCGCCTTCCTCCTCAGACTCCTGTCCAAGTATTGACCCTGTTTAGCTTCTGGGATCTGACAAGACCAGGTTATACCATAATGCCTTCCCTCGCAGTTACCCACATACTTGATATTTTTAAAAACTCTTGGGAGCTCCGGATTCAAAATGCACAGCATCTCACCAGGTTTGTCCCATAATGCGGTAACATTCTCTTTTCTTTTTCCTTAGGGGTCCAAATAAAAGTGAGAATCAGACCTTTGGAAAGCAGGGGTGTTTAGAATTGGGGATCCTGTGCATAGAAAGCAGCCCAGCTTGGAGTCCTTAGCTAACAAATTCCCCAGAGTCTCATCACACTGTACAGAGAAGGCTTAGAAATCTCAGCAGCAATCCCAGATTCAATCTGAGATGATAAAGAATCTCAGGTATCCATCCTGGGGAAAGCCACACAAACCTGCTGCTAGTTATAGTAAACAAATCTTGGGCAAGGTGAATGAGCCAGAGGTCAGACTCAGGAATAGGGAACTTTGTATGTTCATTCCATGAAGAGGATAGGACCCTACCCATGTAATAGGCCCTGAAACAGCATCTTTTAGCCAAGCGGATTTTGCATATTGATTTGATTGGGCTGAAAATTGCTTCTCAGACATAATTTCCCCCTTCCTACCTCTTTGCTTAGCCATCAGTTAGGGACTGAGCTTAACTCTCATTGCAGAGTGGTAGGTCCTATTGACACAATAAATGGATATAGTTTTTAAACCTATTTTTAATGGTCATATAGCTCCCCCCAGACTATCCTGAAAGCTGATGTCTATCAAGATGCTCAGAGTTCTGTCACATAGCCCTTCACCCAAGATATAACTATGATGGAATTTGCTACTACAAGGTGATCAGACAAATGTGCAGGAGATAAGATACAACAAAGTACCTGTTAGGGATCTTGGCTAAGCGAAACCTTAATGTGTACCTTTCCTGGGAAGCAACAACAGAGAGAGCCTTTGGCCTCCATGCCTTCCTGGTACCCATTTCAGAGGTCTCTAATTGGCCACTTTGTAAAACAAGATGCTGGATGAGGAACGGTTGGGCTGATCCAGCAGGGCTCTTCTTAAATTCTTTGTTCTTCTCAAAGATTTCCCAAATCCTCACTTACAGAACTACAATTCCCAAGGAAGAGGAAATGGCAAACTAGTTCAACATTATGATTGAACGTGTATATCCTGGTAATGTTCAATAGGAGGTATAAGGTGCTATCTCCAACCCCAAAGGTCCGAGGAAGTTCTTAACCAGTTGGGAACCAAGATAGTAGACCCCTGAGTTTCCTGCTAGGAAAACCTTTGAACATATTTTCTGTTACACACACCTAGGGGGACTGGTTCCTAGACAGACTTTTCTTCCATTATCTAATTAAGTACACATCAGCACCTAAGTTATGACTTGGGTAGCAAAGGAGAAAGGTCAGCTGGGATCCCAATCCATTCGGGTAAGAAGGCTGCAGATGGCTTAAAGACTTTGAGGAATGGTGAGTCCGGGAGGGTGTAGTTGGCCAAGTAAATAGTTTCTCCACCAGCCAAGTAGCCGGCCCAGATGCCAAAGGTCCCAATGGTCATTATTGTATGGTTGCAATGAGCAATGAGAGCAAAATCCCTCGCCGGTGATGATTCCTGCCCATCACCAGCAAAGTAAACATCCCCCCTGGAAGCATCAATGTTTTCCTTGCACCAAGCCATCCCATTGCTGACTATCACAAAGATAGTATTGTGGTACTTCTCTCTGAAGTAATTCATGGCTTTGTCCATGTAACTTTTGTCAGCCACTACACCTTTCCAGATCTTGGGCATCACACGAACATAATCGCCTCTCCGGACATGCACTCCAATATAGGTTACATTCTTGCGCTGCCCCCGCAGCTGCAGAAGGTATTTATTGGCCTCCTCCTTGATGTAGTCATGGAAGGTGAACTCCTGAAGTATCTCATTGCGGATGTGGTGATAAAATGTGTAAGAACAAGGGTAGCCTGTTAGCAGCACGTACTTGCCCTGGATGTGACGATACTCCTCTGACATCCAATCATGGAGATTGTAGTTCCTCCAAGGGATTTTGTCAACCATATCAGAAGAGATCATAGGCAAAGTTATCCTGAATATTCTTCCTAGGTACTGGTGCATGCCTGGAAGGATGTAGGCTTGATGCCCGTTAAGTTTGGCTAAGGCATAGAGGGTGGCATATTCTCCCATCTGATTCCCCAAACGCCCAATAGAGTTCACTGTCCATATACCTCTATCCAAGTTCTTAGTGGATAAGCTAGGAATTGTGTGTTCAAGCACTGGGAGGCCAGATGTGTTTTTGACACTGATCTTCCATGGCCACAAGAAAGGATTGTTTCTCTGCAGGTGCAAAAATGTGGAGAGAGACATAAGGCTAAAACAATATACGCAAACCACAAGGAACGGTTGACTGAAGATGCGTCTTTCTGGAAGATGCATAGCTCCAAAATGAGGACACCTACAGAAAGAGCAAAATGGAGTCAAACAGATAGAACCAAGACAAAGAACTCAGTTTATGGACACTACTCAGCAGTGGATCTCCAACTGTTCCTGTCCTTGTACCCTTCTTTCTTCTCCTCACCCCCATTCTTGATTTGAGCCTCCCGAGGAGACAGCAATTTTGCTGCATCCTTGAAGTAAGAATTAATGAACTTTCTTAGGACAAATCTGAAAAGTAAGCACAAATATTTTCTCCATGGGATCTGATCTCTGTAGTCTGGAGAGTAGTTGTAATTCTGGTCGATTTCTACCCCCCCCCAACCTGGAGGTTGGCACCCTTCTTCCAGTTATCCAATCTCAAATCAGAATATCCGAAAGCTGAAAAGAATACAGAAAGACCACTTGCGGCTAGATCCATGTCCTAAAGTACAATTGCACAACTTAGGACTTGATCCAACCAATTTTTTCACTCCACCTTTTCCAGTTCTCCTCCTCTTTACAGCTTATGTCCCATGTTCCTTTGGGATGGTCAAAGGGGACACTTCTGTGTCTCACCAACAGAAAATCAAACTGGATTCACCCCTTACAGTGCAATCAGAAGCAGTTACATCCTTCCAAGACCATTGCAGTTAATGGGCTCAGATAACAGTACATTCTGTTTAGGATTGCCGTGTAAAAAGATTAAAAATGTGGAATACCTTTCTATGAGAAATGTTAAAGCTTTCTGAGGGTTTTTTTAAAGTTTAAAAACAAAGATGAAATTGGCGAGAGAGAGGAGCTAGTAAAGGTTTATAAAGTTATAGGCAAATCTTCAGCGCACAGAGATAATACTAGAAACTTGATTGTACTAGAAGCAGAGGTCATTTCGGGGGGGATCGTGGGGGATCGCAGTTCCCCCGGGTGAGGTACGGGGGGCGGGCACATGACGAAGCCCCACCCCTGCTTCTGGCCGCCCCGCTTCCGGCCCTCATTCAGCCAGGAGGAGGCAGGAGAAGAGGGAGGGTAAGTTGCTTCCTCCCTGCCTCTCCCCACCCCTGCCTGCCTGGGGCCAGGGAGGGCCTTTGTGGGGCTTCCTTGCACTCCCGCCGGCCTTGCAGGTCCACTGCCGGGCCCCTCATGGGGCTCGGCAGTGGAGCTGCAAGGCCGGCGGTGGCGGCCGGGACCGTTGGGGGCGGGGTATGTGGCCTTATGACACACTTCCAGTGATGTCAGGGGGTGTGACATATGCTAATGAGTTCCCCTAGCTCTTTTTCTACGAAATGACCCCTGACTAGAAGTGTTGGCAATACTAAAACTGATTACTTAAATTTATAGGGAATAGATACAGAATTGGTAAAAAGAAACTTTCCAGAGATTTGTGAACAAAATCGGTTTACAATGAACTTAAAGGAGGTCTTTTACTAAAGACATTTTCAATGAATTGTCATTCAACTAATTTCCATGTCATAACCAGGATAGGACTACACAGACTACTGGTTCACTCTAGCTATAAAAAAATAATAATTCCTCCCTTCCTCACATTCATATCCCACCATTTCTCCAAGAAATCCAGAGAAATATACAAGAAAGAAGTTGTTCCATTTCCTCCCCTCACAACAACTCTGTGAGGTATTCCACAGAGGTAGTTTTGTTAGCCCATTGCAGCAAAAGTGATAGCGTCTATTGATTACGACCACATTTATTTCAGCAGAAACCTTAGTCAGATACAGCACACTTCTTCAGGTGCATGAAGCCTTACATTCACTTGACCAAACTATATGTAGCCATGTTACAAAGAAGCAGAAGGGGAAGGAATTATTCTCACACCATGAAATGAAGACACCAAGTATGGGTTAAATTAGGTTTCTTAAAGACAAAGGGCCAAACTAGATGTTACAACATCCGTGGGTCTGACCTATGGATGCTGTCACCATTTTACAGCTGAACTCAGAATATTTAAAAATGTGGTGAAGGGCCAGCGCTGTGGGACCTGCAGCTCTAGCTGTCTCCCCTGTGCCTTTTCAAGTGCCAAAACATGACAGGCCTGATGATCAGGTCCTTGTGGCATTTTAAATGGCCTGAGTTCAGCTCTAATTACTTATATGATATTGCTTTAATGGCCAACTGGCCACCAGCAGTATCACATTGAAATAACCTTTTTATTATCCCCTTTTACATTTAATTACCGCCAACATAAATTTTGCAACTAATAATGGGATCCTATTATGTGTATCTAATTAAAACATCTGAATTAGACTCTGCGAAGCAAGGTTAAAATTTATGAGATATCAATTGCCCTAAATATTTTTTCCTCAAATCCTCCCCAAAACAACAGAACAGCAAAATATGTTCCAAAGTCTCGATTTGACCATCCCCACACTCACACCTTCTATCCGAATAAGAAATACCTGCATAACAGCCCTCAGTAACCATGGACGAAAAGGCAGTTAGCCTAGCCAGCATAAACGCCCTTCTATACTGGGGCACCATAAAGAAAAAACATATCATGGAATAAAGTAAAAGGGGATTAGGCCATGAGCGGCTACTGATCACACTCGTCATGCTCTCTCCTGCGTACTTCTAAAATCCAGGGATATCACCACTAACCTGATTTCTTCTGTCTCATATACTTTGTTTTGGTTAAAGCCCAACAATTGAAACATATCTTCATTGACCTTTGCCCAAGAATTCAGTAGCAGATCTTTTCTAATAAGACTTAGGAGCCCCTCATTAGACATAAGCATCTGATGGTATAATAAAAATGGTCTTTGCCACACTAATTAATGGCACAGAGGGCAATTTATTTATTTTAAAGTTTTCCAATCTTCTTTGCTTAGCTTTTAGAAAAGGTTCATCATCAATCTGTCGTGCCTGTTTTTTGTTCATTTTAACAAGGGGGGTGGGGAACACCACCACCACCCAACCCAGGTAATAAACCAACCGGATTCAACAGCTTCAGGTGGAGGGAGGAATGAGGAAATAGACAAGCCAAGGTCAGCCACCCTCTAACTAAAAAAAACCCTGGACTTTGAGCTACAAATAATAATAAAATACTAAATAGGACTAACAAATAATAATAAAATACTAAATAGGACTAAAATAAAATACAACCCAATAACAGCCTAATGAGGCCTAAACTAACACAAACTAAACTCAACTGAAAAGAATTAAACTAAATCATACACACAGCTGCAGCCTCCCGCCATCCAGGGCTCCTGTGCCTGGGAATAACAGGGGAGAAGACAAAAGAAGTTGTCAAAGTTTAAACTAATAAATCTTCTCTAGGTCTTCTGAAAGTTCGAGATAGTCAGAAACCAAAAAGAAAAAGAAAAGAGATAAAATAAATAAAACTACAGACCTGCTACAAACGTCCCGCCACTCCCCTACATTATTAAACCTAATAGGTGGTGAGGCAAGGGAACCGGCTATCCGCAGATAATAATCCCGCACGACGGCAGTCCAAATGAAACGAGAACAGGGAAATAAAATGAAAGAAGCATCTAAAATTAACTTATAAAGAAAGAGGGAGGGGTTTTAAAAAAAGACTAGCACCGGACAAGTTCAGCCCTAAAATGGCTGCAGCAGATCTGTGGACACTTGATCAAGTCGCCCTCACTCATAATACAAAGCAGGTGTGAGGGGATAGAACCCTCTAAAATTCCTTCTTAGCCCCAAATGGCAGCTAGGTAAACCCACCTGATAAACCTGAGGAGAGTGGTGGGTCATAAGTGGCAAAAGCATGGCTACTGGAAACAGAGCTTCACCTTGAGCGCCTGGCTGAGCTTCATGAGGCATTTGTCAGAGCCCTGCCTGTCAAGAAGCCTCACACGCGAACAATCACGGCTCTTGAGTTTGGGTAAAAGAAGGCAGCATTATTGCAAAAGAAATCCTCAAAAGCTGGGAGTGGTCCACACCCACCCACTCATGCTGGATCATTTCCCCTTTGGACTGGAGCTGTGCTCTGCAGTGTAACACCACTCACCTGGGAAAAAAGGCTTTCTGGCCTCTCTTTGTAATAGTTGCCCCTCCCTCGATTACCCTTCTGTTTGCCTATGCACATGTATGTGCCAGTTTAATGTAGTGTTGCACACATCTAAGAAAGTGAGCTCTGGGTCGCCAGCCTTATGTCACAATAAATTCATTCATCTTTAAAGTGCCATAGTAATCTTATTTTGACAAAGGAAGTACTTCTTCAGTCTGTGCATAATTAACTTAATAGATAGGTAAAGGTAAAGGTTCCCTTACTCTGCGCATAATCAACTTAATAGATAGCCACCCATTTAAGGGGTTTTTTTCCCCAAAGAGGTTTATTTTAAAACAGTATTCTGAGACATGACTATAGCCCAGGGTTCCTTGCAATGCTCCCTCTAAGCTGTGAGTCTTGTGAGCAGAAATTCTACTTTGTGAGCTACCGGCATTATAGTTGTGAGCAATCAATTTGGCTACTGCATAAATTAGTTTGCTCTGGAACCATCCTTCCTAAGGAAAAAAAAAAAGTGAGCTGGAGGCTAAAAAAACTGAGCTAACTCACACTAACACAGCTTAGAGGGAACACTGGTTCCATGGCTTGGTTACTGTCAATCAAAGGGAGAGGGAAACTGAAAAAGGTAAAAGGTTGGAGATAAGGAGGCAGGGAAAGGGGAGAGAGCTGAAGAGAAAACAACATTGATAGGTAGGTGGGTGGGTGAGAGAGGGAAAATTGGGAGAGGCAGCAGGGACTGCCAGGAGGAAGAAAAGAAGAAATATTGTGGGAGAGGGAATACACTAGGAAAATGAGATCCCATCCCGGAAAGTCCCCCTGCTTCCCCTGCTTCTCATATTTAATTGTGCAGACGAGGAACAGTAACGTCCATTACTACTCATCACAAATATAGGATAGGATCTGCTTTCTTTTTTTAACATGCCAACTATGGGTGTTTAGGTTTGATCCAATAAAGGATTGGCTTTAAAATTTTGGAGAACTATTTTGTCAACTATTCTTCAGAGCAGGTCAACAACTGTGGTCTATTATTTGTCCCCGGGATTTGACAATTTCCCTGCTGCCGCCACCACCACTATGCTATCCTATGCTTCTTTAAGACTGAGAGGGGAGGAAAAACAGACACATTATGAGTTCTTGTCCTGTATAGAATGAACCATATAGGCAAAACAGGCTTCATTTGGAAACTTCCTGGGTTCTTTTTCAGAAAACTATGAAGAATATTCTTAAAGTGATTGTGATTAGTATGAGACATAACTTTTTTCATTGG